TGTAACAGTCCTCAGCGACAATAATTGTAGCTTCCATTTATTGAAAGCTTGCTAAGTGAGTGTCAGCTTGGCTCTTGTGGACAGATTCTCTTTCTTTGGATATAAAAGTAGCATTAGATGGTCAGGAGTGACTACAAGGCTTGCTATGAGGAGCCCTAGAAATACTTGATATCTCATATGACATTTGAGGCTATTCGCGGGGTGCGGGGGATCTTCAGAAATAAACAGAAAAATGGCCTAAGTAACCCTGAGGAGCCTTGAACTTTCTTACCTTTGACCTTGAACAAAACTCAGTAAAGGTATGTTTCTACCCAGACCCATTCTGTGGAACGCCAAGGTGAAGCCCAAACTCAGTAACATGAATTACATGTTTAAATAGAAAATTTCTCAGGAAGATCCTTTTCTGGCCAGTAGCTTGAATGACCGACATTTGCTTATCATGTGGCTGTGGAGGGGTCTGGAGCAGGTTGGTAACCCAAATAGGCCCGTCAGACTAACTCTGGACTTGATAAAAATAGCCATCAATCCGCAAGATCTACTTGAAAGTCTGTCATTACTGTAGATAAGTGTGCAGTTAATTTCTGTTCACCCATCCTGTTCCAGAGACCATTTCAGGGCTATTCACCATAGGCTGGATTGTTTTCTGTACTTTCCCCCAAAAAACAGCCTCCAAACACCCCTGGTAGAAGCAAGCATTTCACCTATTTCCTTTTCAAAACAACCTAGGCTAAGGTCTACAATTTGAGTCCTCTCCTTCAAAGGACAGAGTGGGGGGCATATTCTTCTCATGTACAGTGCACCCTCAGCTTCTAGCTCTGAAAGAAGTGAGGACTGATGGGGAACCAGTGTCTCAGCCTATACCTAAGTCTCAACTTAAAAACAGAAACTATCTGTATCTCATAGGGGACTCACTCTGTTCCTCCCTCCCTTCCCTCTCTTCCTCCCACTTTCCTCTCTCTCTCCCTCTGCTCCTCTTTCACTGTCTTCCAAAAGGAAGCTGCTTCTTTTATCTTTTGGCTTCTTCTGTACTCAGAACAACAGAGCTCAAAGCTTCTTAGCTTGAGAACTCAGCACCTCTTGGATTGATAAATAGAGCACCTTGAAAATGGTTAGAACTAAAGACAGATCAACTGTGGCAAGAGAAAGTAAACATATCCATGCACCAGTCAACCCCAGCAAGCTCCTCATTGAGATTACAAAGCAGTTCCTGCCAGAGCCAGTGAGGATGCTCCAATATGCTGGAGAGGACCAAAACTACAAAGGAGCCTTCTCTGCCTCAGTGAGTTGTGCCCCAGAAAACTGGAGTCATCTGGCAATCTTTTGGGGGATGTGGTTTGGATGTTCCTAAGAATGGTAGATTCTGTCTGTTTGTGTGTACACCCATCAATTTTATGTTTGGAAATGTACCAAGAGAAGTGGGGGGCCCATTTCATTTATTTCTGCTGGGGGTGGGAGACTTCAGGTGAAACTTACCAGTGAAAGAATTGGAACTTTTCACAAAATAGAATGTACTAATGACATAATTTGATACAAGTATTTGAGGGACATTTCCTATGGAAAAATATAATTTCTACACTACCCTCCCCAAACACACACAGATTGTTTTTATGAGAACCAATTAATAAATGCTAATTCATTCAGGCATATCTCCACTAAATTACTGTTTCATTTAATTGCAGGGGAATTTTCCATTACTAAACTCTCCCTTGCTGATTTTTTGCATTATTTATATTTTTTCAGTTTTGGTAGTAGTGAGGTTGGTATGTGATATTATCTGCTGTTTGTGCGTCTTAAATTTCTTTTTCATTTAAAATGTTTCCTCATTCTTTCAGCTCCGAGTAATCTGGGAGAAACATCATTATAAGCAGACAATATTTTATATATAAATGATTGAAAAGGCACTAGCTGAAATTAATCGAACTGAAGTGAATCTTGCATAATTATGTTCTTCTAATGTCTGTGTGTGTGTGTGTGTGTGTGTGTGTGTGTATCTTTACTTTGGGTTTACTCACAAATATATTCTCCTGTCAGTAAGTCACAAGTGTGAATATGAATAGACTGCATAGGGACTAGAGATGAAGAGTACAGGGGCTTTCATAAAATTAAAACAGTAACATGCCAATATCTTGGTAAGTACTTAGAGCACGATGACTATTTTCTTACTTCCTTTCTTTGGACCCTCAAATCAAAACTTTGATAGTCAGATACCTAATCTCCTGACCAACTGACTCTCAAAGATTCTACCTTTTTATGCATAGAAAAGTAAGAGTCTAGGGTGGAAGAAAAGGTGAATAGGTGTCTATGATAAAGAATTTGTGTTCAAAAGAATATATTTTGAAGATGGGATTTCAATTTTCTTATATTGAAGAGCAAAGATTTCATACACCTGGCTGCCTTCCTTTCTGAGATTAGCACTTTCATTTTATTCTCAAGCACCTTCCTATCTTTTTTGCTTTGCTATTACCTCATATTCACTTTCTTTCTTTCTCTCTTTATTCTTCATTTCTCATAGAATTTTTAAAAATTGTCCTAGAGTCTGTAAATTATTAAACTGTTTACTCCAAGGTTTAGTTATGAGATGGCATGTCACCATAAGTAAAGTTTCACCTTTATACTGACCCCATCAATAATTACAGAACAAGAATGGTCTAGTAAATCTTTCTATTAACGATTACAAAAATAATTTCATTTATTCTGAGCATTCTATTGATTCTACATTTCTACATGTAAAATTTCACTGCCTTTTACATTTTGTAAATTAATTATCAAGTAGAGGGACTCAATCCAAAATGAAGTTGGCATATAAAGAGCTTGTGAATTTATTCATGAGAAAATGTACATTCTCCCCAAAATGTACTTTTCATTAAAATTAGAGATTTGGGGCCATAAATAGAAAGTTTTAAATTTATTAATAGGTTTGAACCAGAATATTTCTTAATAATTGAAGTTCCATGAGATTGGTTTTTGTTTTGTTTATTTTACTTCCCTTTGTCCTTTTCAGAAAAATTAGTCGTTTTTTTATATAGACTGAAAAAATTAATTAACTTTCCTTCCAGCCCAAAATGGCCCGAGATAAATGCTTCCAATAGACATCAAAAAAGTGTCAATTAGAAATAATTACTTCTTATCAATCAGTGGGGCAATTAAAGTGACAAAGCTTGAAAAGATACTTATCTTAAAACTAATTCACAAAGTAACTAAATTATCTCCTAATTAACTTGCATTGAGCAGGGTGGGAGGATAGACCGTCTTGAAACAAAGATGAATTGAGGAACCCCAATACCTCTTTATGTTCCTCAATACTATGTCTCCTCTCCCAAAAGACATTGTTTTAAATCAGGCAAGAAACCTGGAAAAGAAACAAATCTTTCCTGAGATATATTTATTCCCCTTTCCTCCAAGTCTAAAACCAGGAGGACTGACAGGAGCTTTAGTTTCCTGATCTCTGATCAGGAACTAAGTGGTATTCTTTCTCCTTGATCTTACATTTCATCTTTGACTTTTTTCGTAAGTTATTATGAGGATTGCAAATTATTTCTTATAAAATTTGATGACAACTGGCTTGCTTTTATAGAATTCTTTCTCATTGACATATTTACTCACATTTTAATATGTATGTGGCATTTATTTATTTTTATGAACTTTTGAAACAAAATATTTTTTTCTGCTGTAGCAAATTTTGTTCCCTGATGCAACAAAAAATCCCGAGGATTTTACCCAACATTTAGCTCTGACTAGCCGGCCGGCACCAGAATAATTTGCTAGCACCATTTCCTCGGAACAAAGCTTTGTAGTTCTGCAAGCAAAATTAGCTGAGGGTGAGCCTCGGTAACCTGGGGGGCAGAAGCGTGCAGGAAACTTTTCTAGGGTGTCTCAGGTTTTTAGAAATGGTGTGCTTGGCCGGCCTCGATGTCGCGAAAAGCCAAGCCGCTGCTCACACTCAGGAGTCTAGAGAAAACTTCGATGAGAGCTCTCTACATACAGATAAACTTAGAAAAGAAGGTGCGGGCGGGAGGGGTGCTAAAAACGAAGAGAGAGAGAGAGAAAAAGGGCTCATATAAACAAGAAGTATCAGCTTATGAATTGAGTTTTAAATATAGGCAAAAGTGCCTATATTTAGCTCGACCTATAGAGAGAGTCGGAAAGAATTTGGGGACACTTAAACAGAGACATTTAAAGCAATTTTTCCTTTTTTTTTTAAAGCACTAAATTAAACGAATGTAGGCTCCCTCCCTCCCCCCCAACCCCCACCTTGTTTGTTTGGAGAGTTAAGAAGTCACTTTGATACCCGCCCCCCCCTCTGCCCTCGCCAAAAAATACCTGGTCGGGCCAGAGGAAGATGGCTCCCTCTTCCAATCCCCCCAGTGATTTGCATCTGAGCTAATGGGAAATCCGAGTCTCATCTTGAGATCTTTGTCGATAAAAAAATAAAGTAAAAATAAATCGTGCCTTTTGTCTTTCCTTCTTGGATTCCCATTAATTCTAATGAGTGTTTCTAGAATGAAAATAAGAAGCGATTTTTTTTTTAAAGTCAACCGGAGAGGCTGTGATTGCTTTATTTTCCCCTGCAGCGTCGGGGAGGGGCGGGGGAAGGTCTCCCACAACCCGGTAAATTCAAAGACCTTGAGCACCCATTCCTCCAAACATCGCCCAAAGGTCGTGGGGGTAAACAGCGAAACTCTCAAAACAAAAACAAAACAAAACAAAACAAAAAAACTCCCCAAACCCGGCGGAAGTGAATGGGAGCAGCCTGGGATGGCATTGGGCACACGCGCTAGGCCTGGGAGACCGTCCTGATCCCCAAGACAAGGGCGACGTCGGGTATTGTACCTTGCTTTGGCTTAAAGATTAAAGGATTTACACCTTTTTCTGGCTTTAGAAAGTGGTGTGAGGAGAACGCCTGGCTTCTGCGAGCAGCCGGGTAACGTATGCCAGGCATCTCTGCCTAGTCCCCGGCCTCACTAGCCCTGCGTCTGCGTGAAGGGTCTTAGCTCTCTAACCTGGCAGCCCCAGAAACTGCCCCAGGTCCGCAGAGGGTGGCTGGCACGGTTCTGGTCCCTTTCTCAGAAGGCAGCTGGAGCAACGGAGAAAGCATCCTGCTGGCTCCATCTGCGGATCTAGAACGAACCAAGAGGAGAAACCTTTCGGCGCCCCTGGAGGTTACCGGTGCCCCTCCTAGAGGAGCCTTGGCGCTCCGACCCGGCACTGCGCAGCACAACCTGACCTCCCGGCGCTCTCGGCTAAATAGAGATCTCAGCCAGCGCCGCCCCGGCTCCGGCTCTCCTTATTATAACAAATGTCCCGTTTGCGGAACAGGACTTCCTATTCGCCGAGAATATTGATTTCCTTTCACTTCACCGGCCCAAATCGATAGCGATGAGCCCTGGCCCCATAAATCGCCTTCCTCGAGGCCGGCCGTCCTCCATCCATCACCGCGGGCCGAATCGCGCCTCCTTTGGCTGTCCGCACAGGATGCGCGTCAGAGCGGCCGTGCCCACCAGTTCCCGACCCTGGGGGACTCGTTCCCGGTACAGACCCCGCCTGGCCTGGGTCCGGAGCCCCGGGAGCCTGCACGGTAGTCGTGAAGCACAAGCGCTTTGAAGGCCCTAGGCCCCGGGCGCAGGTGTGGAGGTGGATTCGGATGCGCTAGCAGTTCAGTCCTCGCCCGCAGACACCCCGCAGGAGACGCTCGGCGTCTGCCCGGTGAAGGGCAAGAGAATCCCGGAACACCAGAGTATGCCACTGGCTCCCAGACCCTCGGCCATAGGCTCCTTTCTCGAGGGCATGAGAGATGCGCAGAGCTCACAGTCCTGTTAGGGGATTCACAGGAAGAATCCTGAGATGGGAGCGCAGAGGTCGCGGGGCAAGGGAGCTACAAGCCCAGCACCCAGGCGGCCACGGATCTGAGAACGCGAAGGATGTTCACCGTAACCTGTCGTGCAAGACGGAGCACAAAGTACAACCCCCGGTGACCCCACAGAGAACCCCTCACCGATCCATGTAGTCCGCAGAAACCAAAGCTTGGGGAGGGAGGCTCAGTCAGGTGGAGGGGGACCCGGAAAACAGCCAGGCGGCCCCAGCGGAGAGTTAGGCCCAAGGCGCCCCAAGCTGCGTCCCCAACAAGGTTGTCTCGCTAGCCGGGAGCTGAAGCTCCCGAGCCCTATGGACCCCTATGGACCCGAGCGCACGCACCGACGCTCCACGGCGCCGCCGGGGCTCGTGGGTCCTGGCTCGGCCGCATCCTTACCCGATCTGATGGAGTTGTGAGGCATCGCCAGGGAGTCGCGCTCAGCGTGCAGAGCACTTGGGGCTTTTTTACTCAGGTTCGGCCGCACTACGTCGCTATGCCGCTGCCCTGCACAGACCCAAGGAAGGGGCATGAGACTCAAGTCCTTTAACCTTAGACCATCTACCCAAACCCTGTCCCTTAGACTTCGATCGATCGCGTGCCAAGATTCGGGGAGGGTGAGGGGAAAGTAAGGCCAATCTCAGTCAGGCCTAACTCACTTATCAGTCCGGAGGATCCGGGATTGGAAGCACAGAGGAAGCCGGGGACTCCAGTCCCGGTATCCTCTCCCTCCACTCTCCCAGCCTTCACCTATTTGACTTGGAAAGGAAAGGGTTGCCAGACTTCCCTGCACCCTCTCATTTCTTGAATTCCCACTTTTTTCCCAGCCATCTAGTTCCTTTCTAACCCCTGGGTGGCATACCTGGCCGGCCGGACACAGGCCTTCACTGCCTAGGTCCACCTGAGAGGGTGCCCTGGGCCGGGTGTCTCTCCTCTTTCTGAAGTTTGTTCCCATCCACTCGGCATCTCCGACCGGTTTTATCCCGCCAAGGCCCTGGGAGATGGGTCTGGTGAGCCTCTCAGGCCGCCGATTGGCTGGCTGGGTGCAGGGGGGTGCGGGAAGGGGAGGATTTTGCAAGGGGGACATGGCTGAGTGGACCCAGGAGTTAGAAACATTTGCTGGAGCTTCTGTTTCCAGCGGAGGGAAGAGAAGAAGGTAGCTGAGCCCTAACTCAGCCGTCCTGGAAATGCTGGAGGAGTGGGAGATAAAGGCCTAAGGTCTGAGGATGAGGCTCTCTGGAGCCTCTTGGGGTCGCTGACCACCAGAATAAGCAACATAGCTCCTCTATGACATCCATGTCTCTCAGCAATCCCCTGATCTGCTCACGAGAACAAACCTTCATTTTTTAGGAAGGAACTTCTGTTTTGAAGCCCAGTTCTTTCAGTGGAAGCATGCTAAGAGGATGCTCCCAACTTCTTCCAGGGCAGGCCCTTGCCCTTGAAATTGTTTTCTCTGGTCATATCCCAAACCATTGAAATTCCTCTTTGTGCAGGCAAACATGTACAGCCACCTATCCTCTTCCTTGTTCCTTGAAAATTTTGAAGTTGGAAGAAAAGTTTGAGAGAAGAGCAGTGAGGGATTGCATTTCACCTCATCCTAGAAGGGCTTTAGAATTGACAGGTCTGTGTTGTCCTGTGGCCTTGGCTCTTGGAGCCAACATTTCTCATTGTGGGGTTTAGGTGAGGGTAAGAAGGTGTTCTTTAGGTAGATTGGAGAAGCTCTTTTCTCTGTGGAGGAGGGATTATGGGTATAGGGAAGAGTGTGAGCATGTGGAAGCAAATGTCCTGAAGTACTTATAAATCAATCCAGTAAGGCCCTGGCAGTACCCTAACCTCAGGCCAGATCTCTGGATTTAGGATTACTGCAGAGAAACAGCCTTAAAGGCTTCTGAGGGGCTGTGTTGCCTTGAGGGGCTGCTGAAGCATAGAGAGGCTAAGCTATTAGATGGAGAAGAAAGCAAGTGGAGAGGCCTAAGACAGGGTCCTTCCCTTCCTTTCCCTTCCCTCCCCTTCTCCCTCCCCTCCCCTCCCCCCTCTTCCCTCTCCTCCCTTTGGCTCCCCTCTTCTCCCATCGCCTCCCTTTGCCTCCCCTCTCCTCCTTTCCCCTCCCCTCTACCCTTCTTGCCTCTCCTCTCTCTGTCTCTCTGTCTCTGTCTGTCTGTTTGTCTGTCTCTCTGGCAGTAATTGTTTCATGAAAAGAATATATATGGTACTGAATGGAGCCTCCCCATTTGTAAAGGTCTTCAAGTAAAATCAAGTGGTACTTTAGTATTTTAAATGTTTCTCCAAAATTGTTGTAAACTGCTGTGGTTTTGAAAGATTCAGATTCTTAGCTTCTTCCATTAGATTCCCCCATGGGAAAGAAGGTAGAAACTTATCAGGATGAAAGTGGATCTTGGCATCAGTCCTAAGGACCCCCACTCCCTAAGACAATGTTCTTTCATGACCTCTGCCCTGACACTGAAGGGGAGCCAGTGGAATGATAGAGACTCTGTTCCCCTCTTACCAAAGAGGTAGTACTCTGAGCTGCTTCTAAGTTGTCTTGTTCAAAAGTTCTGAAAACCCACGAATTTCTACTCAAGCTAAGGACCTGACAGATGTCAGTAATAATTGAAAGTCATATATCTATTCTGGTCAATGTTCTTTTTACTGACCAACAAAATAAATCTTCCTCCTACCTCCCCTGTTTGAGCAAAAGTTCTTAAAGGGAAATATCAGTAGATTAAACTTTTTGTCCCTGTTTGTGAACTCATTTGAAAAAAATCACTTTAATATAAAAACAAAGTACAGCTGAACAGGATTACTTCTCAAAGAAAAAACATCCAGGCACTCTGAGAAAACCCCTTCTGCAAGCTGCAGGTGACACAGCAGATAATAGGAGGACACTCAGCAAAATCATATTCTAGAACCAGAAAGCAGTAAGAACACAGTCAGCTTCTGCTGCAGAGATAAACAAAATTACAATTGGAAATCAGGTCTGGTTTCCTAGATTCTTCCTGATTACTTGAGACCAAGAACCATAGAAATGTCATCAGTCAGTACCCCAACTCAGCCTCTCTGATATTAGTTTCTTAACACATATATTTTGGAAAATACATATATTTTGATATATGTATCATATATCAAAATAATACATCTGTACATATATATGTGTGTGTTGAATATCTTTAATTAGTTTTACTTTAAGTTATAAAGACTTCAAGCTTTCCTTTGACTTTGATTTCAAAATGAATTTATTTCTTGTCTCAGTTCAGTGGGAAATTAAGATTTCACTTTTTAAAACCAGAATGTCCTTCAGTTTTTTTTTTTTAGACTTGATTCATATAATGCTTCTTTGCCAAGATTATTGTTCAACAACCTGTGGTCTAAACCCACTTACTATTTTAAACTCTTTTTCTGAAAAAACTTTAATTCATTGCCCATATTAAAATGCAAAAGTAGAACAATATGAATAACTCAGGCTTGCCTTTAAAAAGTTGAAAAGTCTGGGGCTGGGAAGGTGGATCAGTGGTAGAGCGCTTGCCTTACATGCCTGAGGCTCTGGGTTCGATTCTTCAGCACCACATAGGCAAAAAGAAAAAAGCCGGAAGTGGCTCTGTGGCTCAAGTGGTAGAGCACTAGCCTTGAGCTGAAGAGCTGAGGGACAGCGCCCAGGCCCAGAGTTCAGGCCCCATGACCGGATCCCTCCCCCCCCCCAAAAATGTCACAGAATGTTCTATGGGTCTCTCTACCTCAGACCTAGATATTGTAGTAAAGGAAACATGGGGCTCCTTGGACATGAATTCTCAGAAGTTTCTCTGCATAAGAGTTCTTGAGATCAGCTATAGCAGAAGCTTCCTACCACCTCCCCTTCTTCCCCCCACTGACAACCTTCCTTCTTACCTACAGAGCTACTTTCTCCTACATGAAGGACCATTTTTGGACCTAAAGAACAGCCTCTAAAAATAAAAATAAAAAAGAACAGCCTCTAGGAAGAAAATTGCAGCTTTCTACTTTGAGTTGGAAGTATTAGTGGCTCACACCTGTAATGTTACACAGGAGACTGAGATCTGAGGATTGGGATTCATAGAATCTGGGCAGAAAAGTCAGAGAGACTCTATCTCCAATTAACAGAAAAATGCTGGACTGGAAGCATGGCTCCAATAATAGAGTACCAGCTGAATTGTAAAGGCTGAGCACTGAGTTCAAGCCACAATACTGACACACGCACAAAACGTCAGGGTTCTTGACCCACCTTAAAGTGAGATCATTTTTCCCTCTAAGCCTCAGTTTCCTTTTCTGTAGGATGTGAGTGTAGGTGGGTGTGGGGAGCTTAAGACCTACCTTGTGGTTTTATTGTGAGGATGAATAGAGTTATGAATGTGAAAGCCCTTTGAAAACTACAGCTCTGTACAAAAGTTAATTATTATTAGACTACAAAGGCAGGAGCAATATAGCCGAGAAGGGCAGAGTTAAAACTCCTCTAACATTTTGCTGTAGAAGTCGGTTCCTTTCATCTTTCTCCCAAAGCATGGTGGTGGTGAGTTTTTGAAAAGCTGCCTGGGATACTGGGTAAGATCCATGCATGGAGAGGAAAAGGAAGGGGAGCTCAATCTTTTGGTGAGATTTGCGAGGCAAGGGAAGAATATATGTGTTGATGGAGATGATTTTGAAGGGAATGGTGAATGTTTTTTGGCCTAAAGGAGGGCAGCAGAGCTAGTGGCAGAGGAGAGCCAGCACTGTTGTCATCTCCAGGGCACAGACTTTCCTTGTTGCTTTGAGTTTTTTGAGGGCAGAATTGCTGTGGGTACGTATAGCCTTTACACTATTCTCTTCCCTCTTGGACTTGTCCAATCCTGCCACAGCCACATGGGATTTCTACCTAGTCTGCACACTCAGGAAATGGCCAGTAGCTTGCTCTAGGGCCTCCTGGTGGTACTGCCTGAGAATCAATCATTAATTACTGGAGGGGGAGGGGTTTCTAAATACAGAAATAGCAATACAGGTCCTGGCAGAGACCACCACCTGGGGAAAGCTTTTTGGAAAAAGCCACCTCTGGCATTTGTCCAGTTGGGTAGTGTTGGAAATAGGATACCTGGATACTTGCCTGTTGAGTTTTTTACCTATTCCTTAGTACCTTGGCGGTGTCCACTTGGGTGGCTGGAGGAGAGCCTGATTGGGGCTGAGTAGGAAAAAAAAATGAATATAGGGTCTACCAATCTGTTTCTATAGGAACAACAGTTTTTAAAACTACAAATAATCAGTAGAACTTTCTTTTCCCCCCAATCTGTTTTGCAGATGAGGTCCCAGGGATCCAATATGTCCAGGATCACCTAGCTGGTACATGTCTGACTCATGGCCAAAAAAGCACTAATGACTCAATCCTCTCCTTAAGTGTTGGATATCTTGCTTGCCTGTCTTGTTCTCCCCTCTCCTCTTTTTCCCCTCCTGCTCCTCTCTCTGTCCCATCAAGAAAGAAGTTTCTGGAACCTGGGAGTGACCAAGGTGAGATCAGACCCCCAGGGCTAGAAAACTTCCCTGCCACAGCTGAGGAGAGCAGCTCACCAAACAGGAATGCTCTCCCTGGGCCAGGTTCCTGTAGAGCAGCAGGAGTCAGGATGCAGGAATCCAGCTGGCCATGCCAGGGCACCCAGTGGGCTGCTTCCTGACAGCTGTTCTTGGGGAAGTGCCAAGGAAAAACCCCAGGCTCAGGATGGGCTTTATTCTCTGTGGTCCTAGAATGTCAGAGGCTCCTGCTGTTGGCATTAACTACACAGGATTCTCTGCCCCCCCCAATCCCTGGCCCAACAAACGGACCAGAGATCCTGGCTGTTGGGATCTGGGAAGAGGGTGAGGATTGGGAGAAAAGATTAAAGAGATTTAAACTGTCATTTGTCCTCAGCCTTCTCTACTCTCTGTAAGGTTTCTGGACATTTCTGGGCCAAGCAGTCTTGGGTACTTTTTTTGTCCA